AGTACCTTTTTTTTTTTTTTTTTTACATAAAACGCCTTCTTTTTTTTAAAAGTTGAAGTGTTTGGCCACCCTTTTGGAGAAAAAAAAGTGCTTTGGAAGCAAAAATAGTTTTGGAGAAGCCGAAAAAAGTAGTTTCTCCCCAAAAGCACTTTTAAAAAAAATGCACTTAGAAGCACTTTTTAAAAGTTTGACCAAACACTAATTGTTGCTCAAAAGTGTTTCTCAAATTAATTAACCCAACACAAATTGTTTCTCATCAAAATCACTTTTGAGAATAAATGCTTCTCAAAATAAGTCGATTTTAGAATTTTGGCTAAATAGGCTATATAAGTCTATATAATTACAAGAAAAAGTGAATTTTCACAAGTGAACATGCAAACGAAGGAACACACGCACAAACATGTACACTTCAGAACACAAAGCAAAGGACAGAACTTGGAAGAGGAGTATTATGCTAATCAGTACATAATCCTAACAACCAAAGCACTATTTCGAAGAAATCCCAAACATAAAAAGAAAAGGACCGCCTAATGCACTAAACTATCAGTATGCGCAATCCCAAACATAAAAAAGAAAGGCCCGCCTAATGCACTAAACTATCAGTACGCGTAAAGTTGAGGGATGAGGGAAGGGCCAAACCATATTGGGTCAACTATATACACACGTACCTTTTGTTTCCACGGCTTGAACTCGTACCGATCAACTCTCCGCTTGTGCTAAGCTCCCCTTTAAATCCCAAATAATACAAAAATAGAATAAGAAAAAGATTATGAGCTTACTATACTAAAGATTGCAACCAGCACCCATCATTTCTTTAAACTCATCAAAATTTACAAATCCATCACCATCTTTATCAACCCCTTTAATCATTCTACGACACTCTTTAACACTGCAATTTACACAACCAAGGCTAATTAGGACTCTCCTCAACTCTTTAGCTGATATTACTCCATTTTTATCAGCATCAAAAACCAGAAAAGCTTCCCTAAGCTCATCAATATCCTTAGTAGAATCACCAAGAACTTGATCATTTTCTACCCCCATAACACTCATGAACTCATCCAAATCCACAAATCCATCCCCATCACAATCCATTTCTTTTACCATAATTTCAGCTAATTCCTCAGCAGCTTTCAATTCTTCATGTCCAAGACTCAACAAAATTTCAGTTAACTCCAGTGGAGATATCTTCCCATCCCCATTAGCATCTATGAATTTAAAGACTAATTTAAGTTGACTATAGATTTCCATAGCTGCAAAACCTGATAACCAACTGAAATCAGAAACCATTCTCTTTGGTTTCTTTTTCCCTTTTTTCCAGTACTTAAATTCTCCAAGAAATTTGCCAGCAGAGTTATTTAAAGACGAGAACCATATTCTGAAAGAATCCATAGTGATCTTTTAACTAGGATCTTGAAAAAAAGGAGAAAAGATAAGAGTAAAAAGACTGAAAAATAGTGGTAGTTGGATTACTGTGAATAGTCAAGAAGTAGAATTAGCAAGTACAAATGAATGCGAGTGCATCATGTGACATTACATGTGCCGTGGAATTTGGGAAAAGAAAGTCAGTCATTTGTCACTTTCTAATCATACTATAGCCCTCATATGGTCCTACAGAAAGTAACCTGCATTTTCCGAGTAAGATTTATTTCTTTCTGTTTAAGTGAAAAATTCTGGCTTTTCCAAGTTAAAAAGAAGCAGCAGAAGAACGAAGTGGAAGAAGTCATGTCGCGGAGTGTAGACAATGTATTTGCTGTGCTAGTTACCAAGTTTAATTCCTAGTGGAATATGGAAATATCCTCTTTTAATTGCCGGCAATATTTATCATCATGTTTTTATTTACTTTTTGGCTCTCCGTTTGTGAAGGAATCAAGTGTTAATGAACAATCTTTTAGGAATTTACATGTCAGACGGCAATTTAAGACACAAATACTCTTTCTAACAGCAAGAGAAGGTACTTGGGATTCTTTAGGGACCAAGGTGCAACGTTTTAGAAGTCACCTAGTAGTTGATGGAATTTTCCTATCACTTTCTGCAACCCAACTTGATAAATTTAGTTTATCGATACTCAATTGGACTAATTTCTAGAATTAAGTTAACAGCTATCCGCGTTAAAATCACAGGTAAAACACTCTAAAAGTGCGCCCAAAATCTTGTTTTGAACTTTGAAAAGCGATGACTGAATATTCTTTGGAGAAGAAAATTTTTGAGTCTCCCTTCACATTGATTTCTACCACTAAAAAAAAAAAAGAAGAAGACATTCTTAGATCAGTAGGATAGGGCTTTCAGTCATTTGTAATTCGCTAGCTGAACAGAAATATAACAGTGTGGGATGATTCAAAAACAGAGTTTCATACGAATAGTAGGAACTAGGAAGACAGTCAATATGCAAATAGTCTCCATTAATCCCCCACACTTTACGAAATTTGATTGACATGAGGGTCAAGCACTCATAAGATGTCAAAAGTTCCCTGGATAAATGCAAAATTGCAAATCATTTCAGAGACCGTAAAAAGCACTATGTCAACAATAGACTTGGAAGATAAGGAAAATTACTCCATCAATTGGTTTTGTAGTCCTTTAAAAATGTGTTTGTAGCTTTATGTCTATTTTACAAGCGGTCTTCATTTCTACACATAAGAAATATGAAAAGAACACACAAGAGATTTGAAAAGGTCATTTCTTCTATTCAAATTGCAAGTGTTATAGGATACAAAACATGGCAATAACCACTCTGATATCTGTCTGTTTTTCAACAAAAGCTCTAAACGGAAAAAGGAAAATAGGTTAAGAAACTACATGGAAAGTGGAGACTGGCAGCTCTCCAAAATCACAACGCATAAACACCACAATAATCACCCAGACATAGCAGAAACAGAAACTTGCATAAAGACAAAAGGGACTTTTTTCGAGGGTTCAGAAACCTTAGTTACTCTGTTAGTCTATGATAACAGGAAAGAACTGGATCACCAGCAAAGTATATCTTTGAGTTGTAAAAGAATAATGACAGTCTGTACACTACGCCTTTCAGGGAAAATTCTCGAGTCCCTTAATGGTCATTGCTTATTGAGTTATAACATTAAAAAACAGTTGGATACGCCAGCGAAAATATTGCAGGTTCAGAAAAAAATCAAGGCCCTAATCCATAAAGCAATTATGTTAGTGGTTGAAGCATAGAAGTAACAACCTAAAAATCCTAAGTCTGAATCCCAGCAACAACATTTAGTTAAGCCCATCTGCTCATGAGAGGCCAACCCATCAAGTCTGCTTGTCGGTGTATTAGCCAAGGTGCACGCAAGTTGGCCCGAATATCATTACCGTCACAAAATAAATTGAAAAAAGAAGTAAACATCAATCCAACAAAAGCATACCTGTGCATCAAACACAAATAACATCTTTGTCTTCTAACCAACGGAATCGCCATGGATGATCTTATACTGCTTCAGAGCTGTAAATTCAAACATCAATTACCAGACCCCTGCAACTAATCAGATAAACAAAGCCCACAAAATGATTCTCAGCCGATAAAGAACAAGCAAACTTTAGGCATGAAATTGCTCATATAATGTAGAGGAAAATGCTACACATACAACACCAGAACTCCTGCTAACATCTAATGACTCTACAAAGAGTTAAGCTCCTCAGTATATTGCAGAAGGTTCTAAATGCCTGGGTAGATAAACAATCACTAGTTTTTGAAGCACCATAACTATCTTTCTGCAATATTAGATAATAGCAAAAATTGCAAAAATACAAGAAATATTACCATATATCGCAAAAAAAAAAAAAAAAAAAAAANCAGTATATTGCAGAAGGTTCTAAATGCCTGGGCAGATAAACAATCACTAGTTTTTGAAGCACCATAACTATCTTTCTGCAATATTAGATCATAGCAAAAATTGCAAAAATACAAGAAATATTACCATATATCGAAGAAAAAAAACATATGAGTACCCTAAGCTCAACATGATCGAAGCAAAACAGGACCCACGGATGAGCTGAGCATATCACTCAGGGCTAACTGAATCTCACTTGAGCCATGCTCACAACTTATCAAGCTTGAAAGTAATGGGAAGAAGCAAGACAAGTTTTTCTCAAATGATGCATCTCCTAAACTACATATTGCCTGGAGAGTTGCAATGATAAGAGGTGCACGTGCAGCCAACTCTCTCCTTCTACCAGAGCCCAGGGGGATTAACCAACGAAGCTGTGCACCAAGAGATGACTCAGACATTTTTCTTGAACGTGCAATTTCAATATAGAAGTGTAAGACCTCGCTGCAAAGGTTGACGAGGTAAGTTTCCACTTCAGAATCTTCAAAACCATTAGGTTTATCTTGCACAAGATTTTGTAAAAATGAGAGGCAAATTTGATATGCCTCATTCTCAAGCCGTAATAATGGAGGGTCCTGCATTTGGGTCATGGAACTGAACTCTAGAAGCTTTGACCGCAGTGTTGCGTCACTGTTTATCTTATGAGCATGAGACGCCACGCCATGCATGGCATCAAAGAGGACAATGATGTTTTTGCTAGACAGCTGAGGTCTGTATATGTTGTAGATCTCCATCACAGCCTGCAATGTGCAAGCGACCATTACGGTAGTAATTATGCTCTCCACATATACACGAAAAGCAGGAACGATAGATCAAATTGACCATACAAGGTTTCCAATAATATCTATGTTCTTTCTGAAGACATGACATTTAAGGAAGCACACGGCCCCCATACTTCAGTGAATGACCAAAATAACAATACAAAGATATTCCGAGTGCAAGTAGACACCTAGAAAGAGAAACACAACCGCCAAACACCAAAAACACGAACACCTATCATATCAAAGATCTTCCTACAGGATTCTGAGATATTCTGAGTCTCTAATCTCAAACTACAGAGATCAGCAGTAGAAAGATTGTCTGAAACTTGAGAAGGCATCAAGAGTTCATAGTATTAGTCAATTATAATTTGATTCTCTTTTTCCCAGTTCTAGTCATACATAAAATAAACTATGATGAAATAAAATAAGTACTAACTTCTATGAAGGTGGTTACTAGTTATAGTTCTAATATCAAAAAATAAACTAGTACTAATCTCAGATTGATTAAAAACTGTGAGAAAAGATAACGCAACCGTAATCAATAACTCGTGAATGGTCGATTGTTAATCAAGTGGAGTACTTATCCGGTTATCTTTCCTTATTAAAATATCTTAGCCCAACCTTCATCAAATTACTCCTATTCGAATATGGACTTCACGGTATCTCCTTCTAGACATTTAAAAATAGCTTTAGTTTCCACAATAAATCTGTTATTTTATATCCATATATACATTTCAAACTTAAGAGCTTGAATAAACACTAGCATACCAGATATAAATGCGTCCAAAATTTCTAACTGTGCCTATATATTTTAAAACCAAAACTTATATGGCAACCCCACATTTCTCCCACTTAATTTAACACGTTATCCACCTTCAATTTGTGTCTAACAATGTCAAGTCAAACCACAAGATATTCAAAAGATCTTTTAAACAGTATGACATTCATTGGGCTTTCTCAGTCCATCACACTAATGATTTTTATGTAGGAACATGAAACAATTTACTGATTAAGCCCTTTATCTTGTACCCTTAACGTAGTGTATACCATCTTTACTTGCTTCAGGAGAGCATATATAAATGAATTAGAACTAAACCCACAGTAGTGGCTATGCTGGATACCTGAATTAATAATAGCTGAACAGCAGCCCTACACTTCACATCAGAAATAGCTTCATATAGACGGTGCCTCCTCAGGTTTTCCAAATCCTCATCTGGAGTATCTGTCCCAGTGGTTTCAGCATTGCTATTCCTAGCCATATCTTCTTCCTGGGACCAATAATTGTTATTTTCATTCAGAAGAAAAGAGAAGTCGGGAAGAGTTGCATTAGCTGCTTCTTTAAGGGACAAAACCACTTCAAGCCATTTGTCTTCAGAGAAAAGATTCCCAGCATTGCTCATAAGACGGACAAATGCAGCAATGCCAATACCAGCAAGGCTCTGATGAGGACGCTTGACAAAATTCACCAATAAGAACAGCACTTTCTTCAGAAGTGGATTGACTGTGTCATAAAATTTAACAAAAAGATCTACGACCAGTTGGAGTGCCAGTGTGCAGGTCTCATAAAGCCATGCATCCTGATCAGGCTCACCCTCTTCATCGTCATTTCCGTGCATAGGTGAGTTTTCACCTGAAGGATCAATCGTATGTCGAACATAGTCAAAGATTGGGAATAGGACAGATTCAAACACCCTTTCCCATAATGATAGAGAGAAATGGTGGCCATAATTGCGTAAGGTATCAAACAGCACTTGCAGAGCACTCTTTCTGATTTCAGGCCTCGGGTCAAAGCTAAGTTCAGATAGTCCTGTAAGAGAAAAGGAATAATTTCTTAAACAAGTATAACAAATATTAACCTAGACTTAAAACTTGTCTCTACAAAGAACAGTGAAAGAGAGCATTTGCTTTACAGGCATGAAATCCTGGTCCAAGTCTAATATCTTTGTCCTTACCAGCCAACAGAGGAAACCAGAAATACAGATGGTCCTCCTTATCTGTCAGTTCTCCATTTTCAATATTGTGGTCTTTTTCTTTATGAGGTGAAGATGGTGAAGGCTTCCCAGAAGTTTCTTTTTCCTTGTTCCTCGAGGAGCCAAGATCACCTTCAGCAAGTTTTGCCGCACATAAACGAAGGAAAGCAATGGCATTGAGACTAATATCTTTGTTGAACCTGCTATTAGTGAATGCAATAAGGCAATTAACGCAGTCTGTGAATGTGGTGGTCTCAGTCTCCGTAATATATGGAAAATAATCTCGAACAATCTTTTCCATTATCTCGAAAGACAACAGCACAATGTTTTTATGGTCATCATAAGCAGCAGTGGTGAAGACCTGAAAACGTTAGGTAATCAGAAAGAAAAAAAAACATTAGGTGAAAAGAACAAACTAGAAATTTAAGAAAAGAATGCATATTCAGTATTAACATGTAATCTATAATGGAGTAAAGATCAAAATATGGTTTATACCATGAACATGCTCTTCCATCCGGACTTCACATGATTGACTCGAGATAAAACCATCTGAGAGACGCATCTGATGATTAATTCTCTGATCTCAACAGCACTACTCTTGCGCATAACAATCACAAAAGGCTTCATAAACTCATTCTGGAAATTATAGTTAGCCAATTCTTCTCTCTCCAAGAACTTCATTGATAACTGGCGTAAAGAATCCATTGCAAATATGGCAATTGAAAGATTTTCGGAGCAGCCAATGGTCACAAAAAATTCACCAAGAACATGCCAGATTTTTGTCCAAACAAATCTGATACGATTCATGTTGTAGTGCCTGTTTAACGAAAATGAATCAATAGTTCTGCTAGTTATCAGGAAGCAAAAGGGAAAGCAAAATGATACACTTTATGTAAAGAAACCAAAGGACGTACGCAATCTCAACCATCTTTGTGAGACTAAAAACCCGTGGATCCGAAGTTGAACGTAATTCTTCCATGGAGACCTTGCATAAAGCTTTAACAAAGTCCACTATAGCCTCACTGTTTAATTTCTGACTCCTTATGAATATGCGGTTCATTTCACCAACTTGTTCCAACATGTTTAAGTTAGAGACCAAGTTGTTCATCTGCTCAGATGTGATGCCTGCAGCAGCACTGCCACCAATACCAGCACTATCGTATGAACCTCTCCTCATAGCTGCAGCTACACTTTGAATCTTCCCAGGACCTTTCTTTTTCAAGACAGGAAGGATGCTAGACTTAGTTTGTTTTGACTTGTCAAATTCATTTTGAGGAAGTGCAAAGAAAGTAGCATCCGGAGGGGCACCCTCCCCCAAGAGATGCAAATGTTCAAACCGAGAAACACATGTCAGAATATGTTCCCATGCCTCCTGCAGGTAGTTTCCATCCTCATCTGCGATCGTAACTATTGCCTGTTAAACAAAAAGGAAACTCAATGAGTTTCTCCCTTCAGAACTCAAGGAAAGGATGAGCATAGAATTTATAACCACCAGCCTTTACTTGCAAGGATACTGTATAGTCTTCCATAAACCTCAGGGAAAAGATAATACGGCAACTTAATAGCACTGACACAGGGAAACTAACCACTCGGGTCAAACAAGGTCCAGACTACCTGCTACTTTGACAAGAAACGTGGTCCTGCTTTTACATTTGCCACTTAGTCAGCGAGGAGCAGTCTATTAATATACATGAAGTCCCACCAGAATATGACAAATCTAGAGCCTAAAACACACGAGCGGTGTAAGTGCCAACAACCCCTTCATTATACACATGAAATCACATATCTGTAAGGAGGTGCAGGCAAACTCGTACAAGGATTATTTTTCTTGGATTTGAGTAAATTAAGTTTAATTCTCAGCTAAAAGAAACAAAAAGGAAAATGAAAGTGCTTAAGGTTGACTAATTAGCCAAAGGGGGGAGAAGAGGGTTGAGAAAAAGAAAGTCCAGGCTGAAAGAGAAGCCAAGGGTCCACTAAAGTCTCTTATATCCCCACACCTTACAAAAGAACCACTGAATCATAATACCAGGCATGACTATGGGTAGCATTGGATTGATGCTGAAAGGTATCCTCCACCAGCCCAATTTGATTGGATCTAAAACACTTTCCAACCATCATTTATTCTGGTAGAAATCCTGGCACTCTAAATGTGTAAACTTGTAACTGTATACTATAAATACAGTGTAATATAGGGTTGCGAACCGTTCCAGGTAATAAACTTCCTCTGTCCCCTTTCCATTGACCCTCTTTGCTCCGCTTAAAACTGTTGAAGAGATGTAACCTTTTTTTTTTTGAATAATACAGAATATAATTAACTGATATTACGCACGTGTCCCCGGAAACTGAATAACCAACAATAAAGCGGAGT